AGAGAGAGAGAGAGAGAGAATTTTTTAATGTTTATTTTTTAGTTTTCGGCGGACACAACATCTTTGTATGTGGTGCTGAGGATTGAACCTGGGCCGCACGCATGCCAGGCGAGCGTGCTACGGCTTGAGCCATATCCCTAGCCCCATGAAAAAGTATTTTTGAACGGTAGTCTATTGACTTTTAATTTTTAGTATTGTTTATTTTATCCACATCTGCAAAACAGTAAGCTTACTATAGAAATAGCCTTAGGATCTACCATGTAATAAAAACGCATAGAGATGTAGAATGGCTGTTCAGGTTGTGTTCCATGGGTTTTCTCATTCTTGRCTTTCAAATTGACATATTCAAGAATTTCATTCTATTCTTTCACTCACCAATGATTAAGCTCTTGAAATTGGTTATAGCTTGGTTATAGTTTACCAAATTGCCAGAAAACGTGGGATTTGTAGTCAGAAAGACTGAATATTTTCTCCACAAATTTGTAGCTGAATGACATAGAATAAGCTACTTAAGCCGGGCACAGTGGCGCATTCTTGTAATCCCAGCAGCTCAGGAGGCTGAGTCAGGAGGATCACAACAGCCAGGTGCTTAGCAATTCAGTGAGACTCTGTCTCTAAATAAAATACAAAATAGGCTGGGGATGTGGCTCAGTGGCCCAGTGCCCTGAGTTCAATTCCTAGTACCAAAAAAAAAAAAAAAAAAAAGAGGGCTGGGGATGTGGCTCAAGTGGTTGCATGCTCGCTTAGTATGCGTGAGGCACTGGGTTCGATTCTCAGCACCACATAGAAACAAAATAAAGATATTGTGTTCACCTAAAACTAAAAAATAAATACTAAAAAAAAAGAATAAGCTACTTAACAAGTCTTAGTTTTATATTATTTTGCTTTTTTCCAAACTATCTCTTTTAGAAGGTAGATATGAAAGTTGTTTATAAACTATGAAATAACACCTTGTAAATGTTTGTTGATTTTATCTGTCAGGACTGCTGAATACTGCTCCGAGTTATCAAAGCACCCATTCTTCTTCTTTTTCTTTTTTGGAACTAGGGATTGAACCCAGGAGAACTTTACCACTGAGGTACAACCCCAGTTCTTTTTATTTTTTATTTTGAGACAGTGTCTCACTATATTGCCAGGGGTCTCACTAACTTGCAATCCTTCTGCCTCAGCCTCCTGAGTTTCTGGGATTATAGGTGTGTACCTACCATGGCTGGCCCTTTTCTTTATTATGACACAGTCATAAGATTTGGCTTTTGTTTTTCTAGATTTATTTTTTTTTTCCAGTACTGGGACTAGAACCTAGAGGCTTGCTTATGCCAGGCAGGCATTCTACAACTGAGCCACATTCCCAGCCCAATAGTTCTTTTTTTGTTCTACTGGTAACTTGAACTCAGGGCCTTGCATATGCTAGGCATGTGATTTACCACATAGCTAGGCTCCCAGCCCCTTCGWAATATTTTTTTCTGGTATTACCAATAATTACATTATATAATGCATTAGAGTTTACAGATCATTTATATATGCATTAAATATTAACTAGAGGGACCTACCTATAGGACCTACCCAAGCATATGTACTTTACTTCTTGCTTCTAAAATTACCCACTGAGGCAATTCAAACTTGGCCCATCAAGAGAAATGAATTAGGTCTACCATGTATCTGAAGATTTAAGTTTCCAAGATGATGATGTTGTTAGAAACAGATTGGAGGGAGCACTGACTTGTGTATTCGGTTTACTTTCTATCCTGTGTGGCCACTGCACCAGGGAAGTAGTTTGCCTGCGTCTCGCTTTTGCTATTTCCTTGTGGGGAAAAGCCTGACAATCTCAATTGTCATCTGTCATACATGTAGAGACACCCATGTGCCAACCTCCTCCTGTTCGGTCACCCAGTTTCATTCCTGTATATGCSTATAGAAAACCCACTCTGCCCATAGCACCAGAACTATTTCCAACTGTAGGCTACCACAGCAATCCATACTTCTCAGTAGTCTGTTTTGCAGAATCCTTCCCTAAGCATGGCCAAACAGATTTCCCTGTGCTTAATGTTTTAAGCCATTTACTATAAATAGAGACTTTAAAAAGTGTTAGTTATTCTTTGATTTCACATCACTATAAAAACATAACAGAAAATAATTGTATATCCCACATCTCCAAGTATTCAGAATATGAATGGGTAGTATATATTTTAAAAGATAAACTATTTCAGAACATTTGATTAATAGTTATACCAATGGTTTAACAATTTGAACTGAGAAATATTTATTGTAACCAAATCTTTATCTAACAGCAAGAGACCCACAAAGTTCAATCAAATGATGGAAAAGAATTGGGTATAAACGATCATGTAGCATCTAAAAATATTCCCAAAGTAGCTGAGAATGCTGCAGAAAAGAATGAAGAACCATCCAGCAATCACATTCCACATGGGAAAGGTATTATTATTTTGTTTTGTGTTAATAAGATATTGACCTTTTCTTYCCATTTCTAAGTGAATGTTTTTCATCGCAAAGAAAATTGTTTGATTTTAGTTCATATATGATTAGGTGTTTTTTTGGTAGCGGGGATTGAACTCAGGGTCACTCGACCACTGAGCCACATCCCTAGCCCTGTTTTGTATTTTATTAGAGACAGGGTTTCACTGAGTTGTTTAGCACCTTGCTAAATTGCTGAGGCTGGCTTTAAACTCACTATCCTCCTGCCTCTGCCTCCCAAGCTGTTGGGATTACAGGTGTGCACCCGGTGCCTGGCCATGATTAGGTGTTTTTATTGTTTAAAATCTGGATCTTTTGATAAAAAAAGTAAAAGCTATTTTAGAGTTAAAACTGTGTCCAAAGCAAGAAGTAAGACATTCAGTCAATGTAACCTATTGCTTTAAGAACTAATTTTACTTTCCTTCAAAACACTTTGAATTTCTATAAGAAAAAGTTACAGAAATCGTATCTTTTTTGTTCCTTGGGCAGAACAAATCAAACGAAGTGGTGATGCAGGGATGCCTGGGATAGAAGAGAATGACCTAGCAAAAGCTGATGATCTTCCCACTGGTAAGTGAAAATTATTAGAGAATTCAACTAAGGTTATTATTTTTCATGTTACTGCATTCTCTCTTTGGCTGAAACTTGGAAAACCACAGATATCTACATAATTGGTATGTCTGGTTAATTACCTATTAATTTCCCAGATCTTTTTTAAAAAATATTTTTAGTTATAGACAGACTCAATACCTTTATTTTACTCATTTATTTTTATGAGTACTGAGGATCGAACCCAGTGCCTCACATGTGCCAGGCAAGCACTCTACCACTGAGGCACAACCCCAGCCTCCAGACTTTTTTATATATAAAGTTTATTAAATTTCCTTACTCAATATGTAGAATCCTTGTTTTGCTATTATAAGAGTCAGCCATTTTTCAATCTTTTCTTGATGACTCCATGTTATTGTTCATGAAAGCTATGCTGTGTTGGAGTCATTTATTGTTTACTAAAAGTACACCAGGCTCTTCTTTCATAYTTAGTAGTCCTATATTGCTGGGTTGGTGTGCTAATGTGGGCTAGTAATACTCTTACATGAGTTATTTAGATTTTAGGGCTTATCTTGTCTTTCCATTAAATCACCCCACATGTTTATTTTTTTGTTTTTGGGTGCTGCACATTAAACCCAGGGCCATTCTACTGTTGTGCTACATCCCCACCTATTTTATTTTGAGACAAGGGCTTGCAAAATTGCCAGGTCTACCCTTCCACCTGGCTTTCCCCACATTTTGGATGATTTATTCACTTTTTTCCTTTTTCTTCTTTTATGGCCACTTATTTTTCATGTATAAATTTTCATTAATGTGTTTGCTGCTTATCCATTTTCATTGGAAATCCTAATCCTACTTGCTGTCTTTTTTTTTTTTTTTGAGGGGGCGGGGGTCCCGGAATTGAACTCAGGAGCACTCGACTACTGAGCCCAGTCCTATTTTGTATTTTAATTAGAGACAGGGTCTCACTGAGATGCTTAGCGCCTCACYGTTGCTGAGTCTGGCTTTGAATTCATGATCTTCCTGCCTCGGCCTCCCAAGCTGCTGGGATTACAGGTGTGAGCACCATGCCTGGCACTTGCTGTCATCTTATCCCATTCATTTTTTTCCCTTCATATCTCATTGTTTTTCTATCCTTCTCTAATGTTCTTGGCTATTATATAGATAACTCTCTGCCAAATTCCATTTATTATGGTGGAAAATCAGAAGTAACAGCACATTTTTGCCTCTTCTTGGCTGTTTTTATTCCTTCTCAGTTTCAGCAGTTATTTCTGTGATTATGGCTAAAATTACTGTGTCTGAGGCCCAAATGAGTAAAGAGTTTTGTTATCTTCTAAAATTCTTCCATGTCTAAATTCTTGTGGGTTTCCAATTCTTAAATAAAGGAAGGACAAAAGCTGTAACATGAATTTGAAAATASTAAGGTAGCCTCAAGATCCTGGGTTTTAGCCTCCCCCCACAAACGAAAGAAAGGAAAAACAGGTATAGTGGTACATGTCTGTAACCCATCTACTCAGGAAGCAGAGGCAGGAGGATAGAAAATTTGAGACAACCTTGGCACCTTAGTAAGACCCTGTCTCAAAAATGATTTTTTTTTTTTTAAGAGTTAGGGATGTAGCTCAGTAGTAGCGCACATACCTGGCATGCATGAAGCCCTGGGTTTAATACACAGTACTGGGGGGTGGGAATATATGCATACATATATTTATATATATATATATATATATATATATATAAAATTTATTTATTTATATTTTTTTGTTATAACATACTGAGCTAGATTGAACAAGATTTTGTTGTAAGACAATGAAATGATTCAGTGATTTCTAATGTACGATATCTGGACCAATGATATCACTATTACTCAGGGACTTAACTAGAAATGCAGATACTTAGGTTCCAGAACAAATTAGGAGATGGAGCCCAGCAATTGCTCCATCTGTTTTAACAAGCTCTCTGGGTGATTTTCATCTGTGTTGAAATTTGAGAACCACTGACTTAACACATTAATTTTAAAAAGTACTGAGAGCAGAGACTCTGTATTTTCTTTTTCTTGTTTTGGTATTGGTGTTAAACTCAGGGTCATTCTACCACTGGGAAACATTCCTAGTCTTATTTTTATTTTGAGACGGGGTCTCACTCAGTTAAAGGCTGAACTTGAATTTGTGATCCTCCTGCTTCAGTTGCTGGAATCATAGGGCTGTACCCATGTGTCCATATACCATGTATTTTTCTTCTAAATTTTTGCAGCACTGCTGTAGCCTTAACTTGAGTGAGTTTTAGGTTGATTAATCTTTTTATTTTGCCTTATTGAATTTTTAAGCGATTTTCAAAATTTTGCCATAGATAAATTGGCATCTAAAACATCCTGTTCAAGCTGGGTGCAGTGGCACATGCCTATAGTCCCAGTAGCTCGGGAGGCTGAGGCACTGAGCAACTCAGTGAGACCCTGTCTCTAAATAAAATACAAAATAGAACTGGGGATGTAGCTCAGTGGTTGAGTGCCCCTGAGTTCAATCCCTGGTACTCAAAGAAAAAAAAAATCCTGTCCAGATATAGGAGCAAGGATTGGTTATCTGCTTGTATGCATTTATTTCTCATGTCATATGTCTATAACATGGCACAATGGCATATACCTGTAATCCTAACTACTTAAGAGTCTGAGACAGGAGGATAGCAAAGTTGAAGGCAGTCTGGGAAACTTAGTGAGACCCTTTTATGAGAATTAAAACAAAAACAAAACAAAAGCTTAGGATCTACCTCAGTGGGAGAGCATTTGTACAGTATTTGAGCCTTGGGTTCAGTCCCCAGTATTGTTCCTCACTCCCCCCCAAAAAATTCCATAACCATTTTATTAGAATTAATAGGAATGAATGCTACTTCTAATGAGATACCAACAAATTTATATATAATTTTTAAAATATGAGCTTGTCCTATTAATTCACACAGTGTTTACAGCACTATAGCTTGGATCTGGGAACAACACCAAAAATGTATATATATTTTCTGTAAATTTAGCATTAATATAGAAAACTTCTGTGTATGCAGGTATTCTCTATATTTTTGTGGCATAGTAGGAGACTTCATATTAATTTTTGTTTATATTTTTTTGTGTGTATGAACGCAACATTAAGCATCTCTTTATATGTTCATTGGCCAATCATTTTTGCCTATTTTTCTATCAGATTGTTAGTACTTCTTTTTCTGAAATTAGGAGTTTTCTTAAAATAATATGTAATACAACTATCTTTTTTTATATCATGCATATAAACAAAGAGGAAAATCTTATTTCATACTTGAAATCTCCTTTCTAGTTTTCAGGTCCAGTCAATCTCATACTCATGCTCTTAATGGTTTGCTTTTGGGGAAACTGTATAAGGGTGTGTTCATCAGCTTTCTATCATTATAACAAAATGCCTGAGATAATTTTATTTCTCTTTTTTTAAGAGAGAGAGAGAGAGAATTTTTTAATATTTATTTTTCAGTTTTCAATGGACACAACATCTTTATTTTATGTGGTGCTGAGGATCAAACCCAAGCGCCCTGTGCATGCCTGACAAGCACGTTAATACTTGAGCCACATCCCCAGCCCATAATTTTATTTCTTATAAAGAAAAAAGGTTTACTTTGAATCATGGTTTTAGAGATTCCAGTCCATTAGCAGGGGTGGACTCATTGTTTTCAGGCCTTTGGGGTTGCTAGATGGCAATGCTAGATTGGCAAATTGTTTCCATCATAGTAAGAAGTAAAAGAGGAAGGGACTGGGTTTACAGTACCTCCTGGTAGGTGCCACCCTGGAGGCCAATTCTTTAACACCTGGGTCTTTGGGGGACATTCATCATCCAAACTAAGGCAAAGGGTTAAAAAAAAAAAATGTAGGGAAAATTACTGCTTTTGGATTTTTAATATTAGGTAGATCTAACCTATATATAAAATAATTAATTTTAATTTTCCATAACAGATTTCAACCTTGTTTGCCTACTTTAAAAAAAAAATATTTACTTTTTAGTTGTAGTTGGACAAAATACCTTTATTTATTTATTTTTATGTGGTGCTGAGGATCGAATCTGGGGCCTCACACGTGCTAGGCAAGCGCTCTACCGAAGAGCCACAACCCCAGCCCATGTTTGCCTATATTTTATATTCTCTCTCTTGTTTTTTTAATATTTTTTTAGATGTAGATTTTCACACCATATCTTTATTTATTTTTATGTGGTGCTGAGTATCGAACCCAGTGCTTCACATGTGCTAGGTAAGGATTCTACCATTGAGCCATAACACCAGCTCCCTTGTTTGCCTACTGGAATCATGGGGAAGCTTTAAAAAATATACCAACTCCTGAGACCCACTCTAAAGATTTTGGTATATTTGATCTGGGGTGCAGCTTGGGCATTGAATGATTAAGTGCTCACTAGGTGACTGAATTCTGTATCTAAGGAAGAAAGCCACTGCATTAGGAGTATCTCTAAATCTTCACTGTCTAATAGAGTAGCCACTGGTCACACACAGCTAAATTCATTACATTTAAATAAAATTTAAATAAAAATAAAATACAGGTTCCTCAGTCAGACTAGCTCTGCTTCAGTGCTCAATGGTCACCTGCAGTTAGTGGCTATTGTGTTGGGCAGCATAGATATAGAATGTTTCCATAATTGCAGAAAGTTCTATTGGACAGCGCTTCTCTAGATTAATATTGGTAAGAGTGGTCTTCTAGGAATGAAGACTGGGGACAGGGATGAAAATGTGACTTACTTTCACTATACAACCTTCTGAACCTTTTACATTTTATATGATATTTGTAAATTACCTATTCAAAAAATTTTTAAGTTAATGAGATAAAAGTGTATTAACCAACTAGACATAATAAGCATCTATTGACTACTTCATCCAACTACAGTAAAATATACATTTTTTTCAACCTCACATGGAACACTCACCAAATTATACCACATTTTGAATCATACAACACATCTCAATAAATTTCAGAGAGTAGAAATCATATAATATCCATCCTCAGATCT